ATCCAAAGCTATACAAGATGCGGACGAATTAAATCTCGCCCATAGCTGATCGATATGGTTACGATACGATTTTTTGGAAACACATTACCCTACAAGATGATGCACGATACGGTTACCTCCAAGATAGGAATATGTTTGGAGCTAAGAAAAGTATGTGTCAACACTGTAGAGAACTTGTAAAGACGGTGTACCATCTAGCGAAGCAGTGCGAAAAAATGTTGCATCACGACTATACTAGAAGACACAATGAGGTCCTACGATGCATTCATTTGGGACTCTGCGAGAAGTATGGTCTGAAAGCATTCCCGCGCATGCGAAGCTATTTTGTTTAGGAGGTCGTCGCGAAAGAGAATGTTGAGATCAGAGTCGATACGTGAGTGAGGACTGCAGTCAAAATAAAAGCGGATCGGCGGGATATCATGATGCACAATAAGAAGCGACGTGAAGTAATCCTGATTGAGGTTGGCATCACAGTCAAAACAGCTTGACAGCAGTCGAGACCGATAAAAAACGAAAATGTGATCTACTGACTAATAAACTTGGGTCAGAAATGAAATGCAGGACCAAAATAATTCCGTATGTGATGACTTGGAGTGGGATTGTAACGAACTTCTATTAACGCTACGCAAAGGAGATCAATATATCTAATTGTGCCGAGGCATACACTCAATCGATAGTGCTCAAGAAAATGATCGAAAGCATCTCATTCAATGACCGCTATGGATTTTACAAGGATGAAGCGAAAGAAATCAACACAACTTTGTGCTCCATTTTTTGTTTTGTGATGTGATACGACTAGCTGGTAGCTCAGGCAACTCGGCAGAACCGAGCAATTATTTATTTATATATGTATGCAGTTTTTTTTGACATTCATTTTAGTTCGTTATAATTATTCATTTGTTTGAAGTTCAACATGCAAAAGCCCTTGTTCTTGCTGTTTACAAAGCTTTGCGATCGTTACGAAAAACTGAGGATTCTAAGACAAATGAAACATTTTGTGAATTTTCGGAGGAAGTTCTTTGCGAAACATTTTCGGAATCTGCTGAAGGTAAAGTTTACCATCTTTGAAAGAATTTTTCTTTTCTTTTTTTCGATAATCTTGCAATCGTCTATAGGAATTTAGTCTCGTACATCCTTCGTACCTGTTGTATTTTTAAGAACATAAATTACAAGTTTCTCACGGCAATGTCTTTAAAACTTTATTTCTTTGTAAAGTTATGATCTTTTTGCAGCATTCGTTTAATTATTCCTTTAGATATGTATAGTAGTTACAACTTCTAAGATTGAAAATTTATCTGAAGCCTAGGAAGCTTTGTTGTGTAATGAGGCAGAAAATGAAACTTGCCATGCAGAGCTTCACGGAATGCGAAACAATGAGCTAGCCTCATTGGCCGATTCATCAAATGACTGGGATATAGAAATGTTACTTCATACACTATGAAAAATCAGCTTTATTAAACATTAGTTTATTAATTATTGCAGGTGAAAGAACTGAAAGATCTGAAGTTCTATATTTGTCATGTTTGTTGCTGAACTGTTTAGCTGTAATGTGGATTCCTTTACGTATGACTTTAGAAAAAGGAAGCTACACGAAGGACAATGAGAATCTGCGAAGACTGTTTGTCAAGCTGTTCAAGTTTATATTTTTGCATTATCGAGTGAGTGAGATGTAATTTCATTGTTTGGCTTGAAAGTTCTATAAAGAAAAACATGCTCGAAAAACGACTGAAGTTGTCGTGATCAAGAATATGTTATCATATTGCTCCGAACGAAAAATATTAGGAAAAACTTTATATAGTAGCATGAAATATTAATTATAAAAACTGAAAATCGTATAGATAACTGCTTATATTCGCTCTAGTCTATTTTTCTTAAGATCAGTAGGTACACGCATATTTTGCTCATATACTTTTGATTACCAAATTTTTTTTTGAGATTGAGAGAAACTGATTAATTGTAGAACACCCAGTTATTGGAAGGAATTATGCAGTTAAAAAGAACTTTACATAGTAGCATGGAAGAAGAGTTAGCGATATCGGAACTGATCCAGAGCTGTCATGGAGATGAGAATCAAGCAGTCTATACCCACGAAATTATTTATAGTGATTTATTGTCTTCCTTCAAATATATTGATGAAGGTGTGTGAGATTCCATTTTTATGACTTATAATTAAATGATACTAGATTTGGGAGTCAATAATATTTCAGTATTCGACAATTTAAGGCGGGAGCTAAGCGATGAAATGCCTAGAAGACTGGAAAAAAAAATGAAACTTCCGGATGATTCAGTGAGCAGAGTACGACTTCAATTTTATTATTCAAAATAATTTTCAGTTAGATAAAAGAATTTTCGTTTCTCATATTAATTCATCTTCAATTGTATCTCCTCTTCGAAAAGATTTACAGGCGTTATCCCGTTTAAAAAATATCATAAAGCGAGCGGAAGTGGAAAATAATTTAATGCAAAACCATCCTACTCATATCAAGCAATATTGCAAGGTTTTACATGATTTTTGTTGTCAAGATGTAAGACTGAGATTACTATTGCAATTAAGTTACCAAAATAAGTTGTCTGCTTATATATCATACCTCTCTTCGTACTGAAATCAAAACATATTTTTCAGGATTTAGGATGCCTAAAACAATTACTTTGGGCAAATTTTCCTCAAAATATATATAAGTTTCCTTGCGTGACGCTTACTTTCGAAAATATCATTGAGGGTATCAGAATTCATTATTTATTGGCACTTATGATGCTTACATATGATAAAAAGGTTTGTTGTTAATTTTTGTTCCATCTGCTGATTTTTGTTCGTTGATTTATTAGTCTACGCAAGGGCTAATTTTATTATAAATTTCAGTATGGTTTCTGTTTTTGTAGGGCGGCACAAAGCTAATGATAGATATAGAAGATGATCTGAAGAATTTTAAAAGTAACTGGATGCCTTATGTTCTTCTACATTCAAGTAAGGAAGGCAAAGATATGTTGATCATAATTTGTGAGGTAAATTTTTTGTACAGCCGAAAAATATATGTGACATATTATGTGCTTGACACTATATATTTTGTTCGCTATCAAAAGAAACTTATAATACATCACTTTGAACTAAAGAGAGCACTTCTGTGAAATACTTTGTTATGATATCCATTTTAGACATACATCGATTTGTGGACTATGTGTCTTAGAATTTATGACACACCACTTGAATTCAGAACACAACTTTGCGATAATAACTTGATAGACAATATTAATAAATGTGATGGTGCTGTTAAGCTTTTTGAAACAGTGCTGGAAATGTTCAAAAATCTGGTTATTACTACGGTTGGTTACTTGGAAAGCAAGTGATTATTGAAGAATTTGGCATTATTCTCAGCATCTTACTGTCTTACAATTTACTATATTTTCAGGTCAAAAATGATGACAGAGAAAAAGTACCAGTCACACACTTATTAGAACCCATACTTTTATACATGATTTCTTGTTCAAAATCAGAGCAAGTGGATTTTGACCAAAAAGTAAAATTTTAACCATCTTTGTTTAAAGGATATGAAAATTTTGGATACTATTGTTACGGAAGTGGAGTTCGTTGACAATAAACTTGCAGTGAAAAATTATCCATACTACCAAGACGTTTGATAAGAGTAAAGGTCATTGCAGACTGTAGCAGATTCATGGTCTACTATATATAGTATTTTGGTGAACTATGGACTCACTAAAACAGTGATCGAGCGTCAAGCTGAGATCATCACTAATTTCATTTTGAATGAACTTTCAGAAGTTAATGGAGATGTGAGGCATTAATTTGACAAGGAATTACTGTGTTACTTTATGATTTAGTGTTAAGACTAAGTATATTCCATCTTTCATAGAAGAGGCGTAGTCCTCACCAGTTCTTTCCCGCTTAAAGCAAGAAGCGAGTACTTGAAAAAGTCTTCAGTTTCTCAGCAATTTTGATGAACATGCTAATAATTAGAATCGGAAGCGATTACTATAGAAATTTTGTTGTCGTAATTACCAACGCCATATTCAGATAAGTACAAACTTTTCTACGTCGCGCTTTAGAGCAAATACTGTGATCGACTTTTGGGTACGAAAAGTAGTATTAAGGTGCGAATATTTAAAGAGGTAAGTGATTTAGACTTTCTGCTACTTTCAGTTGTGAAACTTACTATGTACTTCATCGATTTAATTTTTTCTTGATAGTTTACAAGCTATCATGTAAAAAAGGTTCACCTCGTCAACCCCCATACTTCCTTTATAACTTTTTTTCAAGACGTGGGAGTTCTTCAAGCAGTTACATTTCCTTAATTTGATTAATAGGTCAATCAGCTTCATCCGTTCAGAATCAGTTTTTTCCAGTGTTTATTTTTAAATGTGAAAAAATTATAAAAGAAAGAAATATACTGCTTTGCAGCTTCATAATTCTTCATCTCAAAAGTCAAATTTGTAGTCGTCCTTGTCAAGAAAATGTCAACAAAAGCAGACGTTTAAGGCACGTTTTTTTTTTCTTCATATTTTTAAAGATTTTATTGACACACGATATAGCATTGCCATCTCGAAAACATGATTTTCAGTTATGGAAATGAAAACGAGAAACAACTTTTGTTATTTCTCGAAGGCAAGATATAGAATGGAACTTTGGATAGAGAAGCTAGAAAATGACAGAAGCAGTGATCGCAATCAATAAGAAATACGTGTATAGAAATACGCTTGATGGAAGTACGAATGTCTTAAAAATTGTATTAAAGATAATGCTCGTTTCAGGCAGTTTTGTTCCTATCTAGCATTGTTAGTTACTTTACAAGGGCTAAATCTGATCTAAGCATCTGCGCTAGCAGCAGTAATTCTTGAGTGCTTTCGTTTATATCTAAGTCTGAAATAACAAGAAAAATTATTTATTTGATTTTCAACTTCGATAGTTTTAGATTGGAATATATTGTTTGGTACTGTATTTTAACGCATGCATTTACGTTTTTAATAATATTTCATATTCTCGACGTATGAATAAATTTATAGTGTAAACGAAATGCACCAGTGAAACTGTAAGAAAGTGCTACAAATGACAAGTGAAGTGGCTTGATGAAACAAAGACTAGGTGGACATATCCCATTTTGAATAAAGACTAGGATACAATTCGAAATATATCATACGAATTAAAACCACATAACAAGCAGTAAACAAACATAATCTACATGCACTGTAATGCCCGCAATTATTTTCTACAAGAGTTGATACCAACAACGCAATCTGCATTGATGCGTGGTCACTTGTAATTGTGACATTATGCAAATCACTATCTCAGCAAATAATAATACATTCCTGCGTAGTGACTTTGCTTCTATTTTATCTTATATATTTTTAAATTTTGATTATCTACTTGAGTGGTTCCATAAGTCGTATTCTTTTTTTGATTATATATCTTATCAAAGTAAACTATACCGTACTTCTTTAGCAGTATTCATATTTGATTACTTATTGAAAAATTATATTGGTATGAGCAAATAATACTATGTAAATATTAAATTGAAACATTCACTATATTTTATGCTAATGCAATACAAATTCATTTTTTATGATAATTAAGAAATATAGTATGTGTAGTGAGTTTGATTATTCTTTTGAACTGTACTACGCAAATAAATCTCAACGTATCAGTGTAATTTGACGGATTTGCTGCATAATTTGTTTGTTAACAAGTTTAATTTATTATTGATTTGATTGATCAAAAATAATTGTTTGGTTTAAGTTTTTAATTTTCCTTTATTACTCTTTTGCTTTGCTGTACTTTATTTTTAGCTGCAATATTGGTAAGAAAATTTCTTTTATCTGCTCAAGATTTTTTTAGTTTTTTTAATGCATAATTTATAATGCTTATTGTAAATTAAAAAAATTATCTATAGAGCGAAGAGGAGAGTAGAAAAGTTTTTATGCGTTTAAAGGCAAGTAAGAGTAAGTGAACGATGTTTGTATTGCAAGGAAGTGCTAGGCTATCAGTGGGTAATAGCAACTGCTTACATTACAATGCTTTACACCGCTCAATTGCTACTTACATATATTGAACATACAGTGAATGCTGTGCTGGTACACACACACATGTTGAAGGAATATTTTATCATTGTAGCAGATATTGTCTACAACTTTTATCTCAATTGTATTTACTCTCTTATCTGGATTAGTCTCTTTTAATTGGGTACTTCTAATTACGCTTAATTTGTTACGTAGATGATGATTGTTTTGTGTATATTGTACAATTTAATTATGGTTTGTATGCCAAAATCGTTATTATTGTCATTTCGAGATCATATTGGTGATAAAAAAATAGAAAATGATTGTTTTTCTAGTGCTAAGAAAAATTAACTTTATTTAAATCAAACTTGCTTATTGGTGTTATTCATCATAGCTTTACTAAAAAAATTTATGCACTCATATGTAAAGTAATTTTGCAAACTTTTCTACCATATGTATTTTGTATTTATTAATTCGAAAAAAAAGAAAGAAGTGATTTGTATTTTTTAATGTGAGGACAAAAAATGTGTCATTTCTTAGTTGACCTCATTTTGTACTCATTTATGTGAAATGTATACTAATATTAAGTTGTAGATATGCTTTGAAGATGGTAATGCTGTTGTTGATTAGGTCATACAAGTTTATGCTTAAATCGTCAACATTTTGTGTAATAGTTGGTAGTTGTAAAGAGCTAATTTTGTTGTCTTAATTCTTTATTTTCAGTGCTCTTTTTTTCAACAGAATGTTCTTATTCCAGGAAAAAAAATTTCGGAAAATTCGCTAAGATTGACAATAATAATTAAAGCATTCATGCGCAAATAGGATTTATCGTAATATATAGTACTGTGGCGTTTGGTTTGCCAATTTAAATTAGGCATTGTATCATCTCTGCATATCACTTTTTTATCTTGTTTATATACTTATGTTATATAAGTAGTTTAAAAAAATGTGTGATTACTGGTTGTAAATAAAATTCATACAGTGTAATGAAATTTAAAACTTTATTTTATTCTTTTGGGAATATTTTAGCTTCAAGGTGAAGTAGCGAATTTTTATGTCTGATGAATAAATTTTATGACATTTTATAATGTTATAATTTTGTCATCAATTTGGTCATCGAATATAGAATTGCAAATTTCTTTTTATTTAAAAATATCATTAATTTAACAGCATGATAATTTTTGAATCAAAGTTCTGTCACCATCGTACAATCATTTTCTATCATGTATCCAGTGTAATATGGAAGTTGAGAAATGCATTCAGCTTTTATATAATAGAATGCGTTTTTTTTTTCGACCATGTTAGCCGGAGGCATTTTGCGCGATACGCATAAAGTACGGGTAAAAATTGCGCTTAAAGAAATGTCATAAAGATACTATATTATGACTTTTTTGAAATGGTATTTAATTAGTCAAACATAATTCGTCAGTTTTATACTCTTATTTTTGTCATAAAACATTATTTTGAGGTTATTGAAACTGAATGAAATTAATTGTAGTATTTTTTTAATTACTTTAATTACGATCAAAAGTTTAATGTTTTGTAGAAACGAAATGTACAGTCAGTATACCATGTTTTTCTATAAATGATTAGAAGAAATATTGTAATAATTTGTTTGGCCTAATTTTTGGCTACATTTGCTTCAAACATGTAAACCATTGTGGCATGGGCTTTTTGCTCATAAAACTTTTTGACCTTTGTGGTTGTAACAATAAACCGGTGTGATGGTATTTTCTTTTTCAAAAAATTAGTTTTCACTTCTTTTTGTTTCATTTTTCGTACACTTTTTAGAGGTCGCTCTTTGGTAGTATTAGTTTTTTTCTTTCTTTCACACGAAATTGGTTTTCAAAAGTCAGTAGCAATAAAAGCCTTTAAGCATATTTCATTTTGTGTTCTATTTGCGCATTTTTGAAGAGCAAAAGGCTTATGCCAGTGTGGTTTCGAAGAATGAAACAGTAAGAAGTGAAAAAAGAAAGTAACTTCCTTTATTGCGTTCTTATGATTTGGAATTAAGAAAAGCATGTTTAATTAGTAGAAATTAATTTCTGTTTAAGTATTTTTGTATATGATAAATCATAAAGTACCAAAATTTGTTCATTTATCTTAAAATATTTTTAATGCGATTTTAATTTGATAACATAATAAATTGTTTTCATTTCTCGTTATTCAGATGCACGGTAAAATAATTACTTTTTTCTTGATTGTAATCAGTGACAGTATTCATAAAAACTTTATTAAACAGTAATTCATTTCATCCGTAAATTCTTATTTGTTCGATTTGCTAAAAAGGCTGACAGTAATTAAAAAACTCAATTTTTTAAAACGAATAATTGTGGGTAATTGTTCAAAAATAATTCATTAAAGAAATTTTCTTCGATGATAAAAGACTGAGGAATAGTAAGTAAATGATTTGTAAGAGTGTGTAATTGCTCACTTCTCCGTGCTTTTATAATATTTGATCAAATGGCAATCATTTGTTAATCTTTCTTCCAGTTTTTTTTTAATATGTTATCATTTAAAACAAGCAAAATCGGAATAACTAGTTAGAAAAGTTACAATAAAAATTTCTTCAATTTGTCGGTGTGTTGTTAAATATTGTTAATAAGTCAGAAATAGAGATAATATTATATTTCTTGGAACACTTTTTTTTTTAAATTATAATAATTATTGAAATATTAATTTACAGCATGTATGGATGCTAATAGCCTTTTCGACGCTTTTGTTGCGGCCACAAATTTCACTAAAATTCAACAATTATTCAGTCAACTTTGTGCTTTACTAAATATCGACCCGTATGATAATTTCAACGTTTTCAAAAAGTTCGTTATTCCATAGTATATGGTTTTCATATCAAATATTTATTATTGAAGGTTATTTGTCTTTTTTTTTGCCTTTATTAAAGTTTGAAGTGCAGAAATTATAAAATCAGAAATAAGTTCCACATCACAAATTTATTTCAATGATTTTAACTTTGTTACTGGTTAATTTTTACGAAGTAATTAATGTGCATGCAGGTTGAAAGCACAATTAAATGACTGGCGTGCACAAAAGCTGTGGTCATTATTGGTCAAGCGAGCAGAACAAAAGGAATATTGTAACCAGAAAGCATGTAGACGATTAAGCGTGCTTGTCATCGGAGCGGGTGAAATTGTGTTTTCATAGATGAAAAAAGATACTAATTTCATGAAAATAACTTATATATATATTTAGCTAAAACAAAAGTGGTTATTAGAGTATGACATCTCAAAGTTTTCTCAGTTATCAACAGATACAATTTTTTGTAAGCCTCCTTCAACTTTTTTTAGTTGCTTCATACATCACATATCAGCATACAAAATTTACTTTAAGGACCATGTGGTTTGCGTTCTGCAATTGAATGCGCGCTTCTGGGAGCCTATGTTGTGTTAGTGGAGCAGAGAGACTGCTTTTCGAGAAATAATGTTTTACATATCTGGCCATTTGTTATTCAGGATCTCAAAAATTTTGGGATTAAAATCTTTTATCCTAAGTTTTGTAGAGGAAGCATCGATCATATAAGTTTGTGTTTCATATTGATTGGTATTTCATTTTATTCTACAATTTACTGGCTCTTAATTTTATTCTTATTCTGATTAAATGATGGATTCATAAATGTCAAATATGAGATTTATTTTGTTTGATAATATGCAGTATTTAAATATCATATTTCTCTGTCGAATACTTGAACCAGTTATTTTATTTTAATCATTCAAACACTTGTATGCTTCAGGTATACGCCAATTACAAATATTTTTGGTGAAAATAGCTCTGGTTTTGGGTGTTCAAATACATGATTCTGTTGCTTTTCAGCGTCTAATTTTTCCTCAACCAGATCAATATGGCAAAGGTAATTTAAGCATTGGTAAAAAAGAAGATATTGTCTGGAAAGTTATCTTCTTTTAACTTGCGAAATAATTTTGAAAATATTCATTAAATGAGGATTGCTTAATTTGAAATTGAAATTAGTTTAGTTAGCGGATGGCGAGCAGAATTTGATCCTCCTGGGCACATACTGTCGGAGTTCGTGTTTGATGCGTTAATTGGTGCGGATGGGAAACGTAATACTGTTCCAGGTTTACTATTATTTTTTGAAAATTAATGTTTTATTCTGCATAACTTGTTTTTTCTAATGACGAATGGTAATTAAGAATATTTTTGAATTCAAGGTTTTCCAAAACGGGAAATGCGTGGTAAGTTGGCAATTGGAATAACTGCCAATTTTGTGAATCAACGAACACTTGCAGAAGAGAAAGTGCAGGAGATAAGGTTTAGTTCATTAATTTATTCCCCTAAGTTTTGTCAATGACATTTTTAAAAATAAAGTAGCTGCGGGTGAAAATGGTTTTCGATGACCTCATATCATTTTATATTTTCATCACGTTTGTTAAACTGTAGTTTTGCCTTCTTCTCTCCAATTCTATGATGCATCAAATTCATGTTTCAGAATTGCACTTTTAAGATTTTTCTCGGTCTTAGTACTATTTAGGTTTTCTATTTCAGTGGAGTTGCTTATATTTTCAACCAACAGTTTTTCAAAGACATGAAGAAAGCAACTGGTGTTGATTTAGAAAATATCGTTTATTATAAAGATGAAACTCATTATTTCGTAATGTGTGCTAAAAAGCAAAGTTTGTTAGACAAAGGAGTCATTGTTGAAGTGAGTTATCGTTTTGATTTTTGAAGCATTTTTTGTTATTTGTTCTTTCTGCAAACAAAAGTACGTGTTCCTCTGGCAGCGTTGACTCTTTGCGTTGCACGTCGCATATAAAGGCTGGTATTTGCCAATATGTCATTCATAATTTTTAAAATGTTTATATTGCAGGATAATGACGATGTATCGGTGTTGCTTTCTCCAAGTAATGTGAATCAAGTAGGAACACTTTTTTATATTTTTTGAAATTTTGCTTATGAAGTGATGTCGTTGATTAGAGTCTAACAAATAAATTTTTAATATTTTTCAGGAAAAATTATGTGATTATGCAGCAACTGCAGCTGATTTTGCTACTGGAGGTAAATTACCATACTTGAAATATGCTGTAAATCATAATGGAAATGAAGATGTTGCAATGTTTGACTTTACATCGTTGTTTTCGGCACAGTGTTCAGTAAGATTAGTGGAACGTCATGATCGCCGTTTATTAATGGCTATTGTGGGAGACAGCTTGCATGAAGTAATTTCATTTATTCCTTCATATGTGTTTGTTTGTCTGCAGGTAACAAAATAATACATTCGGAATGTAAACTTCTTACAAAAAATTACATCATTTATCAAGTATTAGATAAAAATAAGTGTTAGTCTAGTGAATGAATTCTTTTTGTATAATTTGGCTGTAGTCAGTAAATCGAAATAAATTAGTAGTGTAACATGGCAGATTTATTTGACTTGCTGCTTATGCTGATAGTGCGAAGTAAGGGAAGTTATTCTTTGGCTGTCATTTTGTTAATGTAAATGTAAATGATGAAATAAAATTTCTTGTTGTCATAATTCTAAAATTTCAACAAATCATTACATTTTCAAGTGCAAGTTAATCAGTAATGTTATCATTTTATGAATAAAGCTTTCTAGCTAGCATTTTTCAATTGTATTTTTTGTGAAGACATTATACTTCATCGTGGTGTAATTCTGAACTCATGATAATCTCTTGAAATTCGCTTTTCAGCCTTTTTGGCCAACAGGTTCAGGGTGTGCAAGAGGTTTTTTGGGTGTTTTTGACACTGTTTGGATGCTAAGAAGCTATGGATTGAATAAACAAGGTTTAGTGATACTTCTGGCTGAACGAGAAAGTGTTTATCGTTTATTAGCTCAGGCTAAATCAGATAATCTGCAAAAACAAATTCATAAGGTATGCGTTTATTTGTTGTTTTTATTTTAGGCTAAATTTTTGTCGCTCATTATGTGCACTTATTTTTTAAAGACATCGTTAATTTCATGTTGTAGAGAAAATTTCATCATGTGAAGTAGGCTGATTATTAATAAAAACGTTGAGCTAAAATTATTTTTTAAAGTTATGTGCAGGTCTCTTTGGTTTTGTAGTACACAATTGATCCAAAAACGCGTTATATAAGTTTGGAAATGACAGTACAACCTCACGAGATAAGTCATTTAATTGATACGGACAATCCGAGAAATGTAGAAACGAATCAAGCCCTGCCTTTGCGAGTTTCTGAGACTGATGATTGTGTGAGCCAAACGTATTTAAAAAGGTGCAATCACTATTCTTTACCAAAAATTTATGGTTAAGGTTTTCTGTTTTTAATATATGTATAAATCACTTAAACTCCAGGAAAGAAGTTTATGAATTTTCAGCTATAAATTATGGAGATTCTGTCATCAAGCATTATTTGCGTATCACCTGCACATTGTCAATTTTGGAGACAGGTAATATATGTGACTTTCGAAAAGTACTTCATGTCTTTTATTATTTGTCTAAGAAATGTGTAATCATAGTTATCACATAACTAAATTTAGCTGGGATAATGGGCGTGCCTTGGCTGCTTTGTTGGGAAAGTTTCGTCCAGATTTAATAGATTATTTATCACTTTGTATCGCGGATGATCCCAGCTCATTTATTGAGGTAAGAAAAAAGAGTTGAAAATTTTTAAATATTTTTTGAGATATGTGGCGTCATCAAATTTTCATATCAAACTAAGAAACAAATTTACATTCTTTAGTTGTTTGTCGCTTTGAAAGTGTTGTCTGTTTTGTCATTAGGCAAATCATAATTTCAGCAAGTGTTTACAATAGTTAAAGAAACATATGGTATTGAACCACCATGCACAAATCACACTGAGTGGCTCAATACAGACGTTGATTCACGAATCGCTTATATAAGTGGTATCGTTGAAGCTTTAGAGAAGGATGCACACCGAATGCGAGAAACACTAATGAATGCGATTAGAATAAGCACAATGTCACATAAAAGAAAAGCAACGCGACAGGTTGTCAGCTGTGCTGAAACTTAAGCTATTTTTATCTGTGTCAATAAAAATAAACAAAATTATAACAATTTATATGAGTGCTTCTAATGAATGCAGAAAGATTCAGGTAGATGTCTCACGTGCTAAAAAAACTGAGCCAATTCGTCGTCGAGCAACCGATCTTCTCAGTGCTTTCTCATCTACTACTTTCTGGACGGAAAATGAAAATTTACTAACAAAAAAAAGTACAGAAAAGAACCAGCATGAATTTCATACAGAACAAGTGTTTGCAAATGATGAAGTTGGTGTTTCATATTTTAGTTTGCTTTTATCAGCGTGTAAGGCTATAATTTATTTGCATTACAATACTAGCTGTTAGTTTCTTATGATTTGTCAATGATATGGAAATGTGAAGGCGAAAAATTTTTGGTGCACAAGTAATATCTCAAAAAACAGTAGATTTATGTTATCATGTCGTTATCATTACCTTTACTACATAAGAACGCCGTGCTTTTTCCAATATTTTTTTCTTAGACGTGTGAAGGTGCCGATGAGTCGTTTTTACGTGTTCACTGTATTGTAGATCAAATCTATATAAAATTTCGGAAACTGAAATGTTCGTTATATAATGCAAGTCCCGCTTTGTCTTCTTTTTCATCATGTCAGTTTTAGAGCATGACGGCAAAGTCATCTGATGACAACGTTACTGATCATTCTAAACTTTGCAAACGTCTAGACACAAATTTTTTTGCACGGTTACCAGAATCAGAATCAAAGAAGCATTGGACTCGAAGACCTGCTGTTGATAAGCTGAATCCTGAGCGACTGTATGCGGTAATTTATTCAAAATTTAATATTTATTAGTGTTCTGTACTGTTTGCTTGCCTTATTTCAATTACATTTTTTTTGCAATAACTGATTTACATCTTTAAAACTACTTCTGATACAACTTTAGGTTTTATGACTTGTATCATTCAACTAGTTATAGGTTGAAAAGATTATTAGTGGGGAATTAGAGAAAGAAAAAACTCAAGAAATATATCGCAGCAAATATCGACTTGCAAATCTTCTAACAAAAAAGATGGACAAGTTCGATATTGACGAAATGAAGTTGAAACTGGAGCAAACCGCCATGGGATTATTGTTCAATAAAGAACAATACCGTGTTCTTACATCTAAGGAAGAAAAAGTAAGAAATTTTTAATTATTATTTACTCTGTAAAGATTCCGTATTTCTGCCATCTTGTAATTTCAAAGAAATTTCAATACTACGTTGTTTCATTACACTCACATATTATTGATCTCACTTTTAAAAAGAATAGTAAAGAAATTTAGTTTTTTTTTCTACATATTTTTCCTATCTTTGTTTTTTATTTTCAGAAATCAAGTGCTTTTTAAGTTTTATGAATTTTGCATTCTTAATCATATCATAGATCGTCTGCACGAACGCTGCAGCAGCGCGACAGACCGTAAAAGAAGGTTTCAGACATCATGATGATGGAAAATTCAAGGTGAATATGCTTATTTTTTCTTTATACTTTTCTGGCAAATATTTTATAATTACTCAGACTCTTGTATTACTTTTATAATTACTGCTGATCTGTTTAGGAGATTGATGAAAAATTGTCGAAGGCAGAAACATTACTGAAGAATCAGAATTTAGCCGGTGTAGATATTGTCTCCAGAACAAAGAAGAAAAGTGGCGTGGTATCACTCAAGACTTGTATCTGGTCTTTAACTTAAAAAGTTTTTACCAAAAATATGGGCGCATATTTCAGTAGTTAAAGTTTTAATATTTCTTATTTCATATATGACTGATAATTCAAGAAATTGTGGTATTGGACTAATTTTAGGTAGCTCCTGGTGGAAAAAAACCTCCTTTACCTGTGCCTCCGAAAAAAGTTAGTTCGCAAATGAAGAAGACAAACTCAGTGGCATATTATTCAGATAATCAAAATATTTCTCAGGTCAGATAAATTAAGATATATGCGTAAGTGGTAAAAAGTATTGAGAAATTAAGATCTAAACTTATCCATCACGTATTTTTTGGTGGCCAAGTAGAGGTCTTTGAGAAAAGAGTTACTCTTCGCAACAAGAAATTGGGCTTTTGGTCCTCTTATTCTCTAGATTTTGATCATTTTCTACTGCTTGTTCTCGTTTAGAATAAATCGTCTCCAAACTGGTCGAGGCCATATTCGATAGCTGTCGATCAGCTGACTTACGACAGTGTTAATGCTCGTCGGCAAATGATATGTCAGTTGTGTTTTACAGCCGTTTATTTAGCTGAGCGAATACAAGTGGAAGGGATGTTCATACATAAAAAATGTTTTCGTTGTGCGTTTTGTGAGCAACCATTGCGACTTGGTAATTGCAGCCAAGATCGAAATCTTCAAAATTATAATCCACGGTGCATTTTTATTAAAAATTTTTCCTTTGTTTGTTTTGAATGGAGTAGACAAGAAAAAGTTTGACCTTTTCGAGCTCGTAATTAAAATATGTGTTTGTTGATATGTGTTCAAAGTTTTTGTGGAACTGATAATGTGGTCTTTTTTTCAGATTTTTTTGCATGCAGCATATCAATCTACCAGTTTCAGAAAAGATTACTCGTATAGAAAAAAATGGTATTCGTAAATTGACCGATTCTTCAGCAGGTAAAAATTTCTGTACTTTGAAATTCGTTTAAATTACAAAATGACGTGGAATTTTCAGTTAAATTTAAAATAGAAACGATTAAAGGGTTTTAATTTTCATTTCAAATCATCTTTCAATTTGAGTGTTTGCAGCGACTAATTTATCAACTGTGAATGCTATCATTGGAAGTGTGGTACCGCGTCCAAATGTATGCTCATGTGTATATACATTATTTTTGCAATACTTATTGAAAACATTTATTACTCGCTGTGCAACTAATATTTTTAAAGTTATAAGACTTGGGTTTTCTTTCTTAGATCGATAAAAATCAACTAATATGAATTCTGACTTGCTCTTAGCCATTTTGAATAGTTTTTTTTTTGTTCCAGTGTGTCTAATTCATTATTATGCTTCGTGTTCAGTGATTTGTACTTCAGCAACCTACTGCACCTGCAGCTCTGGAACGAACTGGAAGGAATTCACCAGCTGTGCTACTTGGCAAGACAATGGAAAAAATGCGTGTCCAAAAAGAAGCTCTTGGTACACTTACATCATCCACACTTAAATGTCAGACTCCAGAGCGCGCCGAATTCGGATCTTATGGCTCGAAAGTTGGTTTTCTATCTTACTCTATAAATGCTACTATCTACTTAAAAAACTTTTTGTTGAGATGGATTACCTTGATATCTTAATTATGCAGAAAATCATAAAAGAAGAGTCATCATCCATGAATAAAAATGAAGTCTCTTCAAATTGTTCCCAAGAGTTGAATAAGCCCACTGAAGATGAATTGTCAGGTATGAATTTGTTCTTTTTTGAATAATAGCTTTGTGAGTTAAAATCTTTGATATACAAATTTTAAAATCACTTCTCATCTGCTAAAGTAAGTTAATTCGTGTTATTGCTTCTAATATTTTTGCTTGTCATTTCTATGTTCTTTAATTAATTTAACGGAATATCTGTAGATGGAAGTGAATATTCATGGTCTGATAAAGATGATGATGATGAGAGTGATTTCATGGAGGATGAATTAATTGATTTGGAGTCTGTTTTGATGGAAAATTTTGATCAAAAAGCGGATGTAGGACTTACGGAAGCACAGGTCAGTGTTATCAAGTTGACACAAGAGTCACTGCTATTTTTATTTTCAAACTGAGTTTCTTCTGGCTGGAAAAAAGAACAAAACTAGATGGTAGTCACTTGCGTTTTCTAAAATTTCTTTATAAGTTTCATTTGTATTTTCGTAATAAAAAAGTATAGAAACAGTTAAGTAGTGAATTTAATACGGAGTTCTTGGAAATTTATTTGGGTAGCTGTTTATTCATTGCAGAAATAGTCTGTACTAAGAGATATCATGTTCATGTGGTCGTTGTTTGTATTTTTGCAGCACATGTCAGAATCATTATTTCTTTGTAGTCGTGGACAGCAGCATACATTCATAATTTATAAAGATTTACAGGCTTCAAAACTTCTTAAAGCGTTTAAAAAACGTCGGCAAGAGAAATTAGAACGCCAGAATAATTCCTTGTCAGAAAAGGAGTTCAAAATATCTACTAAACCTTCCAAAAAAGAGATTTTTGAGAATAAAGGCATTAGATCAGCAGTTACGGACGCTGAATCATCGGATTTGGTAATCGTTGCATAAAAATCAGTATTGTAAAACTGAAACAACGGAAAATATCTAGTCTTTAGAAGGAATTTATTCTTTAAGCAAGGATATTAATTACTTAATGATGTTATTAGCACTTTGTGTTGGTTATTATAGAGAATCGTTTTTGAATTGAGGTTCTTGACTTGGAAATTCTTTCAAAAGAAAAGAAGAATGGTGCATGTATCATATATTTCAAGGTTTTAGTGACCTCGAGTGTTATATAAAATATGATTACCGTTCCGAATTCTGACTCTTCTTTTCATATTTTTCATTAAAAGTATCAAGATTATAATTTTTTCAGAAAACAAAAGAAGAGAAAAATAAATCTCATCGAAGTTCAGAAGCAAAAACAGAGAATGAAATAAGTAAGTGGTTTTAATGATACTAGCATTTACAAGCAGTGTATGTTGTTAAAGTAATAGGTTTTTGATATCTGTCACTTGAAAAACTAGTCGAATGAAATTCTGCAGATGGAAAATACTATGTTCTATTTTCTGCTCTACCCTGTGTTGTTCTTATTTCAGAATTATGTGGAGTGAATGATCGTCGTTCGATATCGTCAAAAGGTGTATCACGTCATCTTTCATTAGATCTCAGTGAAAGCAATACTAATGTAATGATTAGTCGTTAGCGATATTACTAAATATAATGATTTTATGATTGAGATGACAGTGCTTGTGGCGACCATATATAAAGTTCTCTTGCTCGCCACTTAAGGAATAGAAATTCTCTGGCCGTGCTAATGGTTTTTAACTTCTTTAAAAACTAATTTAACTGGAATTGAAATTGAGATTTTCAGCATGCTGATGTATGCGATATCATTCCATTGCATATCTTGGGTGCAGTTTTATATTCATAATCCAGCACTTTATAGGACTTTTTTTTGTTATCAATAAGCTTTACGCTTTTATTACAGAGGATGCACAGAATGTTCTCTGTAGATGAAACACCGAACTCCACTCATTTATCGTCTCCAACATTTACGGCTCAGCAAATAGCTGAATTTCATTCACAGCAAAATATATCATCAAGTAAAATTTTTTCCACAATTTTTAATTACCTTATTTCATATACTATGTCTCTAATAATAAAAAGAAATAGTGTTACTTTATTCTGAACTTGGAATGTCTTTTACTTTAGGATGTAAATTAATTTATAGACCGCGGCCTTTTGGCAACAATTTTCAGTCCTGAAAGAGTTATGTCTCTACGATCTGTTAACAGGCAGCACAGAGCATTCAGTCGTACAGTTTCAGAAGAGCGTAATGAAGAAAAGGTATTTCATCAGCATGGCATACTGTGAGCATTAGATAAACTATACTTTCGACAATATAGTTTACTTACTTTCTTAGAAATATTTAAGTGTTTCTTTCCATCATGTGATAAACAAAGCATGCTTTGTTTCATGTACGAAACATAAAAGGTGGATATGAAACAAACTTTTGTTCATCTGAAGACTAAGTCTTTGTAAAATGTAATGGTACAGTAAACAAAAATAATTATGACAGCTGAGCATACTTTGGTTGTCTTTGCGTAGGAAAGGGAATCGTTGTTTGTAATTTGAATTATCAAAATTGTAGATATTAGTTTTCATGTTGTAACTATTTTGAATGTTTTTGCAGGATGTCGTCCAACATCGTACTGAAAGTGGTGAAAATCAAGAAGACTTTTGCTCAAGGTTTAAATGTTCAAATTTTGGAAAGCTTCAAACTCCCAAGGATGACTGTGTTTTGGAACAGGTATGTATCAACGCTCGTAAGGATGGCTTTGTTTCAGAACAGATAGACGACATCAACATTCGAGGTATTCATAATTTATGCATTTTTATTCATTTTATTAAAAACGCAATTTCCTAATTTTGATTTTGTTTCAAACATCCGAAGTTTTTTTAGGGTTTTCAACTTTCTATGAAGTTTTGTCTACTTCATTATCTATCATTTAGATAACATTCAAGGTATTTATATCGCTTCATAAATTTAACTTTTTTGCATGATAAAAGAAATTTTTATTTCAGAAAGAAAGACAATCTCTCATGACGCCAGGATGCTATTATCAAAGCAGCTTAGTAATTCATCAGTGATGAGACCTTCAACTTCCTTTCAAACTACATCACCAATGTGTTTAGCTACAAATAGTGCTGACGAAGTTTCACTAGGTATTTTTCAAGTATCTTTTATCATGCAAAAGTTTTGTTTACCAATAAATACTTTTTACTAATTGAGTATATGCAATAATATTGAAATTGCATGCAATGCAACAGTGGTAACTGAAAATTTTTAAAAATTTTTGAGTGTTTTTTGCGAGATATGTTACAGTACGACTATTTAAGATGAAAATCGATTAAAACTTTATCATAAATATTTCGTATTTACGATGAAGCTTTAATTATTTACGATGAAGTATTTGTAAGCACCAATACTATGTTGTTTTTAAATGTATAGTTGTTAAAATATTAAATATTGTGTAGTGTTTAAAATTATCTTAAAATAAAGACCATCTTTTTGACAGTATTTCATTATAAAAGCTTAATGATATACTTTCCAGAGCAAAAATCAGAACGTACATCACTTACTGAGAAAGAGATTCGTCGTGTTCAGGTAATCTCCACTTTTCCCAATTTACTTGTAAATAATCAAGAGATAGCAGCTTATATTTTATTGAAAATATAATCTTTTGTTCATTTTATAGCGGATTTTGCTGCTAGGGCATTTGAAGCAACATGGAGCAAGAATCGATAGCAAGTATCAATGTGATTGCGTCATCACATCATATTTTTTCGAAAAATTGTTTTATTGGTTATAGTTTACAATTTTGTTTTACTCACTGATTACGAAGGATTTTGCAGAAATTAGCTGAAAGGATTGTTAAACAGAAAGAACAGGAACGTATCAATGCAGCGCAGGATATGCAGCGTGAATTAGAAGAAATAGATGTGCGAAAATCGGAGGTTAAAGTAGTAGCTAGTGATCTAGAAAGGCGATTATGTGATGGTATTTCTCAAATATATTTTTTAATATTTTAATATTCAACATTAAAAATCTCGTGTTCAGGCATTATGTATTAGTCTAAACATATTTTTTTTTTAATATAGAACAATTTTGTTTTTTTAGATGCAGAAAATCAATGGATTCTGGAGCAATGGCTTTTGTATGTACAAGAAATGGCGCAGTTAAAACAACGTGAAGAGGAACTAAGACTTCGAGTGTATGAGTTTGAGGTGAATCAGGAGTATAAATGTCTTCAGATGCAGTTGAAAGAGGTGCAGGATGTTGATGTATTGGGCCGATCTGCCGATGAAATTCAGGTATTTATTCTCGTGTTAGTTTAATACTCAGTGTACGTGTTCTTCATGTTTATAATTTTATCAATTAATTGTGCTAGACAGAGAAAATGGTGCTGAAGAAAATACTAGAAGTTCTAGAAAGACGTGATACGATACAAAAACAGCTAAAACAAGTAAAAAAAAGGTAATATTCTTCCGTTTGTTTAGTATCATTATATGTTACAATTACCTAGCTAAAAATCCAAGTGAATAATCGCTTTCAGTTAGTCAAATGCTGTTTTAAATATTTGCTAGCTTTCTTGTGATTTAAACAAAATGTAGAAGAAATATGAGTTTTGCAGGGCCTTGGAACTTCAAGATTCAGAACCATCTATAGCAATCAGATTGAGAGGAGCTTCTTACCACAATTTTGAACCAGTCTTTATATAATTATTTATTTTTTTATTAGCATTTTGAATATATGTATCTCTCTTATAGGTTTTTTATTTCACTAAATCATCATAAGCGTTTTTCAGTTTTAGTTGTAATTTTGTTTTATAGTGTGTTTCTCTTTATTTCATATGTGTAGTTATGTTGAATGCATATGTAACTGAAGTCTTAGTTCTTCATATTGTGCGATGTCATCAAAGATATTTCGATGAAGAAAAGCTGAAAAATGCTAGCTGGTAGCAGTAACTTCCTTACTTAATAGCCTACTTATGATTCTATTGAAGTTAACATTTCAATTCAAGCAAAGCTTTGAGTTGAAAATAATTTCTTTGTCGTGCGGTATTCAAATTCTGAATTTTGCGGAGATGTTACGTGGAAAAGTTTGCTGCTTTCTTTCTGTTGAGTCAGAAATTCTTATGCTAGTGCTTCTTCAATTGTGTAATTTGATTTTCGTTTGCACTTTTCTACATAATCTAATGTAGAAGACACTTCTATAGTTTTTTATGTATTATCTCAAGTTACTAAAAAAGAGTTTAATTACTCTTCTTGTTTACAGTTGGCTTTAGACCTGTACTAATTATCAAAATTCATGTCAAGTTGTTTAGGTGATCTTTTGTTCTTCAGTTTTTAGAACACTTGTATGATCAGAACCATGTATCTTGTACATAAACCTACTGTAATTTGGATTTCATGATGTGAGTGAGAAGCTCATTATTGCCTTTATATTCAGCTCCATAACTGAAGTGTTTATGAACATATCTTTGAAAATATTTCAGTACTCTATATTTATGCAATAGGTTCACATTACAATTTTGTTAAATCTCTTTGACAGTATTTGTTTTTTGATAACAGCAGTTAATTAATATGCAGTTAGTAGTCTTCTATGTTTTTACTGTGTATTCTTTCTAACGATGTCGCTGTACTATGATCATTCTTCAAGTTTTCCATATTGCCAAATAAATTTGTATACATGGCCAATTTCATTCCAGGGTTACGTCTGTTAACTATTCAGATAAAAATTTCTCATTTTTGTTGTTCATTCGTCTTCGTACAAAAAAATCTTAATTTCAAGCTCATGTCTTGCACTACTTCAGATTTATAACAATACATGTAGTTGGAATCGTTTTTAGGCGTAATGTATAGCTAATTGAAATTTTGCAACACAGATTTCGGTGCATGTAGAAATTGGTAGATTATTTAATAGTTCAAGATGAGATATGGCAATTATCCAGACTTTTGACTTTGTGGTATTCGTTGTAGCGCAGCAAATGTTGCCTTCACTTAAGAAATATATATTAATGTTTTTATTAGCAAATGACTTGATATTCTGCAATAACGTTTGTCATTCGGGATGAGCTTTTTTGGAATGTTACTTTTTACTTGAATAGTAGTACGTGATTACCGAGAGTAACTCTGCAAGTCTTTTTTCTTTGAATTGCGAGATATTAAGAAGTCTCATCAGACTGATCAATGTCTTGAAATTTACTTTCGCATGTTTTCGAACATTTAATGATTAATATGATGTGATGATGGTTTTAATGAAGTCACTGAGGCTCCTAGGAATTTAGTTTTGTCGTAATACTGCTATAATCAACATGATGATAGTGTTTAAATACTCTTGAGTGCGACGATAATCATCGTGGTTGTTGTCAGTTGGGGATCATGCTGTTCACCATGTATTATTAGCATTTATATTTCGGTCGGAATTATAATTTTAATCATTACTTCGTGCAGGTTTTCTGTAGTTAATATGACTTGATCTTTTTTAGAATTATTACCGGTAGGTCCACTATTTGTCATCATCTTGGATGAAGGATTTAGTTGATATGGTCGCTCAAAGATTTATATCGAAGATGATTGCTAAAAAGGCAGAAAAAAATAAGATTTGTCGGTAAATTTTCAAGACCACAGGATATTTACCATGCAAATTTTGCAAGACAACTTTGTTATGCAAATTTTTCAAGACAACTTTGTTATGCAGATTGTACAAAACAACTTTGTTATGCAAATTTTTTTATTAGCTAAAAGTGCAAATCTGTCTCTTATCTTTATCGTCATGGTATTATACTTCCTGGGTCATTCAGATTTGTATTGACTTTTCAAAACTCTCGCAATTTGCAATGCAAATTATCTAGAACAACTTTGATATGCAAATTTTTTTAACAATTTTGAAAGTGCAATTTTGTCACTTATCTATATTATCATAATATCATACTTCCTGGATTGCTGTAAATAAAAGAAGATTTTGGAACGTAGGATCACTTTTCAATTGTTACGTAGTCATGGGTGGCGGTTTATCTTGGTTCTTCTACGTGGCTCTCTCTGTATTTCTCTCGATGGTGGGAATGTTTCTACTGTTATTCAAGATTGGATGCGTCTTCAAAACCAAGGACTCTCGCGTATGCTTAAATGCATCATATCTTGTTTTTCTAGAAGATTATATACAGTGTAGCACATGGGGACTATTTCAATCACGAACTGTTCAGTACAGTTTGAGAATCATTCTTTGCTCCAAAGAAAATGTATGAAGTGACAGCAACGCAAAAAAATTTTATTTTATTAACTTGACTTTGTTAGATTACTTCAGTACTTTGCAGCTTTTGCAGTCTTTCTCGCATGATGACTCGACAGTATCAGTGAGAAAGACATGATTAGCTTAGTCAAAATGAAGCTTTTTTTTGTCTCTATCTTTCGTAAATTCTATGCAACATAATCTATGTAACATTTTCCTTAGTTTTCGCTATTGCTGTTAATGATAATAATCTTCTTCATGCATACAAAAGTAAAGCATGACAGAATTTTAAGGGCAGACATCGAAATTGGGGGGAGAAGCATCAACATCACACGATGCTTGGACCAATAGGGCCAAGACAGCGAGGTAAGCTGCAGCAGAGTTTACTAGGTTTACTACTACTACTTTACACCCACTCTTCGGTTAGCTTAAAGATTGAGTTTCAAAATGTACATAATCTGACTATTTTGAAGATTTGACGGACAAAAATGATGCGAGCAATGAAAAAAATAGCAGGGCACATAAGGAAAATGAAGCAGCTTCAAATTGCAAAGCCGGGAAAAATCGACGCCTCTTCTCAATTAAGAAAAGTATGAAACCTGGACGGAAACACGCTGATGAGGTGTTTTTTTCATGTTGCCCTAAGTATACATTACTTTTCTCTACATGCTCAAAATGAGTGCAGGATAAAACTAGCAACATATGAGAACGTAACTTTGCATTATAGGATATTGAATCAACTCAGATGGACGATGATGACAAGGATTCCCAGTCAAGCAGTCAGGTTAGAATGCTTGGTTACTTCACTTCAAAATTTAGAGCTTAATCTTACTTTTTCTATTCCTGATAATGTCGAAAATTTATATAAATTTGATAATTATTTGAACAAATAGCTTTTGCCCAAATTATGCCGCGAACGAAGGAATGATGGCGCTAGACAAGGTAAAATGGACGAGTGCATGACGAGAACTCAAACCCGAGAAGAGGAACCGTCAACTTTGGAAGGCGTTGCGTCAATTACACGAGATGATGCTCCATCGGCGGTTAGCATGTTGCGGCCTTCAATGATTTCGGTTCAAAAGTGTGCTGGAATGTCCAAAAAAAGTCAAAGAACCAAGCTTAAATCCTCCACGAAGCAGTGATATGCTGTCTATACTGTCACCTAGAGAAATAGTGTGGGGATGGCAAGCAGGGCCGCATATGTAATATATATGTCTGAATAAAATTTTTTTAATAGACCTGTATACGTCTTACATCTATGTATATTGTGCATTAAAAATGCAAAATTTATAACATCATTCTCATTTATATTTTTCACTGTGGCATTTTATACAAATGAAAAACGAGTAACAGGTTCATCACTAAATTGAGTGGTATGGTATTCACAATGATCTGGAAAGTTAAAGTTGGTACATTTTGAGTTCAAATTTCTGCATATGAAGGTTTTGTTTAGATCTCTGTGATAATTAAGTAGATAGAAAGAGAAAAGGTGTAAATTAGATTGACAAATCCTTTATCAACTTTACATCAGCGAAATAGTGCTAAAATGAGTTGTGATAATGATCCAACAACATAGACATGGGTTTGCTAAGTTGACATAATTGAATTATTTTCAAAAATTCGTACGCCAGTTAGTATATCAGTGTACTTACAGTGCTATATTTAAAAACAATCAAAACTGTAGCCAATGTATTTGCATTTGTTATAGATACTTATGCCACAGAAAAAATGCAGTCATAATGTATTTATTATATGGAACGCATATTCAATTGACAAAAAGTTGAGTAGTCAGTCATTTATGCAAGATTAGATCTTGATCTCCAAGATCTAATCTTCTGATTTTACACTTCGTTAACAGATACCTATTTGCATGATTTATAACTTGTTTTTTGGCTATTAGGCGTCTGTAATTGTAAAGTATAGTCGTACTATTATTATTTATTGTAAAATGCAAATTTTGTTACAATTTATAAAGTAAATCATTTTAGAAACTTGAGTCATTTAAGTAATTGTTCTTTCTATACTGTCTTTTCTTATACGCAGTGTTCTGCAAAGGAGATTCTGGTAAGATAAAAAAACAAAAAAGGCGCCTTGCACAGGGATTTATTTTTCATCTTCTGAGATCATAGCTTGAAACATGATTGACTGAATTTTCTCACCATTCCATTTGCTTTGAAAGATGAAAAGATAAAATTTTACTGAAGACATTGGATGAAAATATGTCTTACTGAAGACGTATTTGTTCAGAATCAACAAATTTCTTGGTATGTATGATTACAAAGCTGTTTTCGCCGCTATTTTTGCAGCAGTGGAATATTTGAATAATGTCACAATACTTACCACCTATGGTGAAGGGACGTCAATGTCAAATCGATAATTATGATTTGCTTATCAAAACAGACCAAGATGGAAGGTGAAAGAATCAAAAATAATATATTAATCACTATCTTTGATATTTTTTGAATCTGAAGTAATACTGCATATTCAGATTTCACAAAATTATTGCATGCAAATAGTATAGTTGAAATATTGAATTCTGACATAAGAAATAAGATGTTAGAAGCTGCAAAGATAGATATGTATGTGTTGTTATTCATTGTAAATTATATCTACACTGAGGAAAAATTATCTAAGGAAAATGTATACGTACACGGTAACTTGGCATGAGGTAGATCAAGTCGAAGAGTCAAAGTCAACTGATGAAGTGTCTCTTGCTACACCGACTCCAGAATTTTCATTCATGAAACGTACGAAATTCATGCATGAAATGATGCTTTTAAACAAAGCTATAAAAGAAACTTGCTATCGATTACAGTTCTAATTTAAATTCTGTATCAATCGAAGTAGTAAACTTGAAAGCAAGATTTGCTCTTTTTTCTTTAATCATTTTTAAATAACAATGATAACTGAAGATGTTTTCTAAGTTTAAGACTTTATTACAGGACAAACAGTTGTGGTTTCAGATGAATATAAGCAAACAATACTGTTTGCTCTTACATATTTTCAGTATAATTTTGATTGTAAAATATATTTGTCTGATAAATTATATTCGAAAACAGAAGTTAATGCTTTTCAGTATCGACAACTAAAACCATATCTCCAGAAAAACTAAAAATTTGCAAAGAAACTGTATCAAACAGTACTTGTCGTCCAGAAATTCCTGAATGTTGTTGTGATGGGCCATGTGGCAAAATTAAAGTTTACTTTGCTAATCATAAAAATCTCATTCCAATTTGTATTAACATAAAAAAATATAAGTACTAGCTAAAACAAATTAAAAAGCTTAATCATAAATGTACTATACAAAACTTTCAGATACTATTTTGCTTCTAAAATATTTTCATTAAGAATAACTTTTAAGTGTGTAAAAAACATGTATAAATATGAAAGGATGGAATATTGTCAAAAGTTAAAAATTGAACGAGTTTAAAATAAATTAATTGTGAATGGATTTTACGGTTCTATCAATGCTTGAAATGATAGCATTTGCAGCCAGTAACTGAAATGCATGTTATGGGTTTATGTGACCATTATATCTGTAAAGATTGCTTTGAAAATGCTCCAGCTGTTGAAACAGGTTTTTTATTTCAGTAACATTACTTTTATTTTTTACATCAGTCAAGAACGGTTGTTGTAAATGTTGTATTATTGTAATGTTGAAGTGGTTTATAATTAGAAAGCAGTTTGCATACTTATTTATACTGCATGTTAAAGTATTACTATAAAAGAGTTATTACTTCTGGAGTATAATTTGCTAATATTTAATTGTGATAATAAGAGAAAAAATGTTACGGATAATTAAGACATACCTCACTTTCTGATTATTCATTTTGAATGATTTTGCTTAGAGTATATCATACTTTAAATTAGATAGTTAAGAGTATTAGGATGTGGAGTGTTGCGTGTATTTTTCTTTTAATTAGCTGGTGGCTTTGGTTGTCCCAATTTACGTTGTTACCGAACGGATTTGGCATGCTTATGTACTAGTCGTCAACATCGTCAGCGAAAACTACATGAAATTCTTGCCATGCCCTTACATAAGACAACTTCAGCTTCAAACATGGAAAAGGTATGATAATGCTAAAATTGTTATCATCATATACTTTTGATAGTGATTAATTTTTTTATGTCTTAAATTTGAAACTAGCAGTTTTGAGAATGAGTATGGTTATTTGATTTTAGAAAAAAACAAACAACAAAAAACAGCATTAAGCAGATAACAATTTAGTAATCTTTAAAGAAATTCAATATTTGAGGAGAAAAAAGATGAAATGATAGAACGTTTCAAAAGTATGCCATGTTTGTATTTGGTTAATGTTCGTCTAACAACTTTTACGTTATTAAAAAATTCACATCATATATGCCGGCAACAGCAAGTTATTGAAATGTATGACAATTACACAATGTATCAAGCATTAAATCTGCTCAAGCAATATGCAGGAATTGACAGGTTAAATACGCTTTATTAACAATATTCTAATATTTCTGTAAGTAAAATATAATCATAATTTGCAAATCTATTCTTCAATTCTATCACACAATATATTTTTCATGAATTTCAGATTTAGTTTTTATTATTTATTTTGATGTTTATTAATTTCTTCAGTTTGGATATAGCCAAGTGTGTATATTACTGTCCAAGTGGTCGTATCAATGAACGTAGAGCATGGATACAAGTAGGAAAAGATGATCTACTCACACCAATTACACGATTTGGAAGAGAAGAGCGCATTGATATTATATTTGATTGTGCCAATTAGTAGGACTTAAGAATTGTGGTGAATAGTATTTCGATAAAAACTTGCTTTGTTTTATCTATATTTTTATTTAATAAACTTCATTCAAATGTCACAAACACAATACATTATTGTGTTTCATTTATTTTTATGCAAAAAGCTTTATAAATGTATTTTTCCTCAAAGATTATTAATGGTGTTATTAACCAAAAATTATATCATTAATTAGCAATGCTAAATAATCATTTTATATTAATTAATAATTTTTTTAATAATCAATTTTATATTTATTTATGAGCCATTTTTATCTCTCTTTGAGAATATCATTATTGTGAGAAATATGGACAGAAAGTGTTATTGCTGAAAATTTCCAAATGAGACATTATCATTGTTACAGTTTTCATGCAAGCATGATCCATGAAACCAGAAAAAAAAAGTGAATCATAAGTTATAAAAAGTCTGAATATTATATATAGCATCTAATTCCTCATATTAATGGCTTCGTAATACGTCTTGAATAGTTCATATATTCTGTAACTTATTTCACTTTATTTTACCACCACTACTCACCATCTCTGAATACATTGTCAGATTTGTGATGTTTTAATTTATTTTCCGCTTTTTAATGACAAATTACAAACTGACAGTCCTAAATTTCTGATAAATTACAGACTGGCAGTTTTAAATTTTGATTGCCATTTTCTCCAAATCGCAAGTGTACAGAATACACTATCAAATTCTTCCGCTTCATATCAACTTGAAATTCGTCGCTGGCAAAAAATATGTTTACAATTTTTTCCTCTGGCAAATGTAAATCTTCTGATTATTTTGAACAGAGCTGAAAGTTTTCTGGTCTTAATTCTCTTGATTTTTATTCAAATTTTCATTTAGAAGTCAGCAAAATATTTTTATATAGCAACGGACCACAACTTGAATTCTGTTGTCTTCTCGTTGATAGCTTCTCTAGTGAATACACGACAAACGCTATGATAAATAACAAGCAAAAATTAGCATTTACGTAATTAAAGGCGTGAACTTCGTTCATAAGTTTTTTATATCAATTTTGAATACGAGCAGAAAAGTGTTCTTTTTTTTAAAGATAAGCTCATTCACTGCATAATGATGTAGACTAAAGTAATGAAAATTTTCCAGTGTAAAATAAAGTAGCAATTTGTTTGCTTGTTTTAAATGAAACGTTGAAAGTGTTGAATGATAAGAGATTGATAATGCCATCAGAATACATGTATCAAATATAAATAAACTGCAGTTGTATTTTAAGAATAGATCAGTTTGAATAATATTGTGATTTCAGGTCTTTATAGCGTTATTTTACTTTAATGATCAAATGAATTTCTTAGGAGCAAGTGGATATTTGTTACTTGCTCCTCTATCCAAGAAATCGTAAACAGCTCGAAGACTATCAATGTGATAAGAAAATGCAATAAATCTATCAGTCACGCATGTAAAGTAAAGTGATCACTTACTAGTAGCAATATTGTTTTACGATTTTGAAAACCGCTAAGACTTTCAAATCACATAACAACATCAAATTTGATCTATTTACTGAAAGTAAAAAAGATCTCTCAAATAGAACAATTAATATATAAATATGATCTATTTGATTTTGAATGCTCTTGTGGGTATTGAAAAATTTGTTGCTTCAGGAAGCTCTTGCTGAGGCAGTATTTTTTTCATCTTACCGCCACTTCACTCAGGAACAATGTTCAATTCGCACTTCTCACCAATAATCACTTAATAAATTGTGATCACAAAAAATCAGCTTAGGTGAAAATATCAATGTCTAACTGAAATCAAACTGGGGAGTAGTTCAACGGAAGACACTGGACCAAAAATCATGCTAAGTGGTATTTATTATCTGTTAGGTCAAATACAGCTGATAGAAAAATCAAGACTGATACAGCTAAATTAGTATTAGTCATTTTTATTAGTCTCTGACGGCCTATATTTCTTATGAACTTCGTATTTAAATGGTCCTTTATTTCATCTTCATTTGCTAACATTCACAAGTTGCCTTCTGAACACCGAAAAAAGTAATGTATTTTATTTCTCATTTAATTCATTTATATCCATAATTACGCTTACATCGAGTAAAATATTTCTCTCAAAACTTTTATCTGAATAGTAAAAGTTCTATGCAAAATAGAATGAATAAGTAAATAAAGCGATGAAAGTGGTGATTTCTTATTGTTTGTGAAGTCCTTCTGACTCTACTTTATTTCACATTAAATGGCTGTCAGACAGTTGTGATAAACTGTTCATTATGCAAAATATAAGACATCCAAGTGCTTTAAAACATAATTCATTTCCTACAACACAGCTTTGGTACTAAAGACTTCACTTTTTCAGGTAAAAAAAAGTGGAAGACACTGCAAATTCCAAATCATAAAGCTAACCAGAGACAAGAAAAGAAAAAATGCAGCTCTGGGAATATTTCGTCTACATGTACTAGCTATGTGGAAAAATTAGATAAAATACATATGTTCCAACTAGTACCTAAATTATTAAATAAAACATGACCTTTAATTTTGTATAACACAAATGTCTACGTCAAAAGCAAGTTAGCAGCTTCATTACATTGTTCACATCTTAAGATAAATAAATAATTATGTCACACTATACACACCAAATCAACTATGAATACTTCCGTAGTTATAGAAATAACAGTGAAATCTGTAAAATATCGGTAATTAGTAGGAAGTAATTTTCTATACTCAAACATGAATTATGTCTTGTGGTATTTCAGTACCGTCACTCTATCTCTGTAACATTAAAACCAAGGGTAAGAGAAAAGTTTATCGCGACACCAAAATGTATCAAAATCAAACGAATGAAATGAACATATTTACGACAAGGTTCAATCCACTAATTCATATCAAGTCCATCACAACTTTCTTATGCTTTTTCATAACATGACGGACTCTACACTCCCTCTGATAAAGTATCTTTTCATCATAACGTTTGCACAGCAGATAAAACCATTTTATCAACTGATGCCTTAAAAACAGCAAAAGTTCTGAGATTCGTATGATATTGTTGGAAGCACATTAAACACAACAATCATATTAATGTCAAAAACAAAATATACATACAATAAATTATCAATCACTTTTTTTGCCCTGATTTTTTCAGTAACATATGCAGCACACATCTGCAATCGGAATGTTGAAAATATGTAATGATGTCTATTATAAATTAATGCTTGACACAACTTAGTAGTTCCTTAGCTGATTTTTCATGTCTTCAGTTTTATTGTTTAATTAAAAAATCTATTCTTTGCTATTAGCTCAAATAGCACAAAATATCTGGTATACTTGTGCATATGCTTCAAATTTCAATCTTTAAATAATGCTTAAGGCTTCAACTTTGATACAACTTTACATGTACAAAGCTCATGAACCTCGAAATATAATGCAACTTTCCCATCTACGACCCAACTTTTGCAGAAATAAATTAACGTAAAAACAAATTTTAAAAACGTAAACTGCACTAGTATCAGGAAAAACCAAATACATTGCTGGAAGCTATAAAAATACAATTTTTTAACTCTTTGTTGAGGCCCTGTTCTAATTATAAGAACATGAGTTTCACTTTTAAAATGAAACATGAGTAAAGTCTTCCAATTCTATTGTATAAGTGATTGCACTAGAATTTGTAAAACAGTAAATAGTACAAAATTAATAAATGTTCCATACCTCAACTCTTTAATGAGTCGCTCGAAATACATTTAGAAGTTGAATGAAAAACCAATCATGCTGCTTTGATTTCGTACATGAATTCAAAGAAATCTAAATGCCTCAAACCTTTCTTCTCTGAATGAAAATAATGCTAAAAAAATTCTGTGACATTATCATTACAATTTTTTAGGAATACATCAGCATGTATCTTATGCCGAACAATACTCGGGAAAATTAATGATAGAATACAGCTGTGAATGACTTTTTGGCTCCTTCGTCTCATTCCATCAGTGTTTCCAGACTCCTATCAGTAGAAAGATTTCTCAACACTACTGCAGCTAATTCCTGAATTACAACTGAAACTCTTTTCTTACCAAGATAAAAAACGATTAATTACCCTTGATATGAGTGCTCATCTGTCACACGCAAAAAAGAAAAAGATTTAGCGCATGCCACTTGAATCTATTTGCTTTTTCCGTCCCTGACTGAAAACAAATGTTTTGAAATACAATGAATGAAGAAAAATGTGCACAAAACATGATAAAATAAATGAGCAACTTTTTAGTCACAAACGCCCTTAATGCTGCTTTTAAACCTTTCCGGTCCGCGTTGTGTCAACAAAATCTTCGTGCTCTAATACAAATAAATTGCAGTTCAACTGGAAAAACAGTTAAGCTAAGATTTTGATGTAATTTATTTAAAAAAATTTCAAAAAACCAAAATCTCTGCTAGCAACGCAGGTGCGGGCTACATTCACATTACTAAAAATGCGATACAACTTGAAGATAAAACGATAAAGGATGTGGTAATAGAACGATAAAAATATTCCACTTCCGTTGTAAAAATATGATCTAAAACATGAAGATAAACAATGTAAAACAAAAAACAATATGGATTGGCAGAAAATACAGAAACTTTCCATTAAGTAGAATTTGTTTCGATTTCTACCGCGACAGTAATTGCAAATTCATGAAGCTGGATAAAAAATCATGCAGCTTAAAAACTTACACAATACAAATAAAACGTCAAGATGCATATATAGACGATATAGACAAAATAATTGGAAAAACATATTATTAAACTTTACATCAAGTAAATGAACAGGTAGCAACTGATTTTCGAACTTGAAAAATACCAATTTCGTTAGTTCTGAATCATGAGAGAACAAATAAATTAATTTTTCAGTTTTGTTTGAAGTCAATCTGTTACTTACTGCTGAAACTAGCCAAATATTCCAAAGGTACTGAAAGGACATTGCGAGAAGTATTAGATGCTGAGCGTGATTTCATTGAACTCTAAAAAGTTGATATCATGAATACTTCTGAAAGAAATTGTTTTAGAAATAAGCAAATAACAAGATCAATGAAATGAAAAAGTATACAATGAAACAAATATAATAGATTGCACCAAAAACAATAAATAAAATAAACCTGGATCGACCCTCCACCAATTATGAAGCCATCACTCAAACTACTGTCATCTATTTCACTCTAAAATTGTGGATGATAAAGAAAATAATGTAAACAGCAAACTATGCACCACTACAGAATGAAACTGTAGGTTTAATCTTGCAAGATTAATAAATTAAAATGAAAACTTGAAGCAAGTTTCCAGTTGCTGAACATATAAGAGTATATACTCAAAGTTCAAACAATGAAAAGCTAAAAATGAAAACTATAAGTATACTTTGAGTGGTGCCGGGACACTCGGAACGATGCTTGGACCAGCTATTTCCTCAGCCTTCATTTCCAAACCTTGTTTTTCGCGGAATGCCTATAAATTCAAGCTTCAAAATCAATCATAATGAAGATATTATGCATGATTTCAAATCCACATTCCTTCCATTTTTCATCCAATAAAGGTCTTGACAGCATTTATGCTAAAAAAAAATACCTTTTTTGTTCTTCCTTTGTACGGTAAAACACCATCGCGTAACTAAAAAATTCATATGATTAATAAAGAACATTACTCAAATACTAGTCTTTGATATATCTTCAAAGAAAATTCCGAAATATATGTTAGTACCATCTCTCTCAACTGCATATAAATGACGCCAAGAACATTTCGACCCAAACCAAATTTAGGGATTGATAAAACTGTCTCCTTTGTTAGAGGAAATTCCATCGGTATCTGGAAAGAAACAACCAGTGATAAACTCTGATTTAAAATATTTATTAAAATAGTAGCCACTGAAAAACAGCAGGGAAACATAAAAACGTTGGAAATCGAAATATTCAAAGTAATTAACCTTAATCATCACTTTATTATTCTGCATACTTTTCGCCCAGTCCTGCATGTAGTTATGATTACAAGCACTTGCATAAAAATCATCTCCACCAAAACAATGGACAAGCAATTTTTCGCCTGAATTCATCAATTCCTTTCGAAGTTCCTCACATTGTTCAACTTTTGCTAGTAATGCTCGCTAAAATATATTGATCACTACATCGATAATATCTCAAAGTTTTGGGTAGCAAGCTTCATCTAAATAAATGCAAAAGGGCAAAATCTGCTAAATATAATTACTAATTAATAATTGATATAATATCAACAAAGGCTATGCTCCGAATATTTAATGTTTATGTACATACCTGCATTGCTTCCAGACCAGGACCCTTTCGCCATTCTTCCGCAGAATTTCTACTTACCTGTAAAGATTTTGGATTCCATGTCAAATCTACCACTCAAGCTAAAGTCGAGTAGAAAATCTTTGAAAATAACAAATATATCGCAAATATTTGAAATTTCTAACTTTATTGATCTTTAAGATATTTCTAGCGAGCGTATTATAATCCTTAACAGGTGATTTTGATGAGCCATCACTATCCACACATTCTGTCATTAGCAATGATGTAACACCACAGAGCGCCTCTGTTTTAGCAAGCTGGTAGAAATGGTTGACATTATCATACACTCTGCCATCAATTTCCAAAGGAAACTGAAATTGATGCCAAAATTAGAATATAATAGAGCAAAGAATCAAGATAAACTGACGAGAACTAAACTAATGCTCCCTTTGTATCAAAGTTATACTAATCAGTAATCGTAAAAATTTTGAAAGCATTTCTTGGGTTTAGCTAAACTGATAAATAAATTTGATGAAAAAATAAGCAAACATCATGCTGAGCCGTAAGAACGTTTTGAAAGCCAGAAAAACATATAATATTGTCAGACGTAACAGCATATTCTTTATATTTGGCTGCATCAGGTAACTTCTTGAACTAAAAAAATGATAAATTTTGATATTACGTTTTACTAATCACGTAGATTTAAAATAATTTAGGTATGATTACAATATGTAACCTCAAAGGGTTTCTTTTGCATGAATCCTCGTTTCATAATGCGTCCATACAAGAACCGTGGTGCACCACGAGGTATTCGCATTGGCCCGTAACCAAAACGATTTCCACGGAAACCCATTGGTCTGAGTGAATCTCTTAGCAAGCGACTATTTGCTCGATTTTCGTAACGAGGCCAAGCTAATTAGACCAGTCATAATTGTTAAAAGTACAAAAAAATTGCCTGCATAATTTTAGTTTGAAGCCACCTGGACAATACAGCATTATAAATGCACATTTCTATCTTCAGCAATAATGAAAGTTCCTTTGAACTGAAATTTGTTAAAATATCAAAACTTACAGTGGTAAGAAGACGCAACTGGTTGTATGAATTCACTCTGGAACTATATCAAGATGTAAATCAACCTCTACATGGGGCAACACTAATTAGAGATTACAGCGAGAAATTGGGGAAGTTAAAATGCGTACTTTCATGAATCAACGGTGCTCAATATAGAATCAATATAACTTTAAATAAATACGAAGCTAAATCAAAACTGTTATAGTTCTTCAATACATTGAGGTGTTTCTACAAATATATTTGCGATGTGAACAACGTTTTAGTAATCTTAGTAATACTCAAGGAATTAATGCTTGTCTCTATGCAAAATTAGTTTCTAAAAATAAAAACAATCCACTGGCTTGAAAGAGGAATTGATCTTCACATTAAAGCAGTTTCCGTAGTTCAACTCTTCTTGATAAGCCTCTTTCTTATATCTCAAATTTCTGCACCTACTTTCTGAATTTTGTCTCCTCTAATAAACAAAAGAAATTGAATAGCTGTGTGATAAGAAAGACGTGAAAGAAATCTTAATAAAAGGATAAAATTTGGAAATACGTATTTCTGGAGCTTGACTACTATTAGATCCTCAATAAATAAGCAGAAACAGAGATAGTAATACATCATGTACAATAGAAACACCCTATCATGAAACCATTGCTACTAGCATTTAATATTCTGATATTGACACGTTTCATTATTGCACATTATCTGCATTGGATGCAATAATGGCCAAAACTGATGATTAAATTTGAAATATAAGCCAAAATATATTACTATCAATGGTTCATGCTTAAAAATTTAACAATAATTATTATAAATACTGAAGATATAATGAACAAAAACTGTAATAAGATTGATTATGTGATGAAATTATATGATAATTGAAATGGATGTAAAATGTAAATAAATAGTCATTATGCAATAAAAATGTCCTAACAGTTGAATTCCTACCGAAGTTAAAGATAAAATGTACAACGACAACTATAAAAAAATTTTTTCATATCTCTATTCATGTCATCGATAATGGAAATAACTCAAAAGTTATACAAGCAAAGTATTGAGTGAACAAATCAGTAATTTCTACAACTTTATGCTATCTGAATCAAAAAATTGATTGATCTGCAATAATACTAAGCGTTAACAGTGAATAAAACAAAAGAACCTTACCGATTCCATCCACCGATCCAACAGCAATCAGAAGTATTGTCCCTTTTAGTTAAAGCGCAATGATACCAATTAGCACAGCAATGAAAAAGCAAAAACTTTCAGGAATAGGATTTAATGATTGCAAATTGGTCCGTTAAATAAGTACTAATTTCATTTTCTCCTCGTTTGATTCAAACCTCACTATCAGTACTGTTTAGTCAGTTCTTGCACTGTTTACGTTAAATTGAAACATGAGATACAGACATCGTTTAAGAAGCAATGGCAAGAGGACTCGTCATATTTATAGCAAAAAAAGGTTCATTTGTACTTAATTTTTGCAAAATTGTCCACAATTGCGTCATTTTTGTTTCTAAATACTAAAGAATTTTATAGTTCATCCTGTTATACTTTTATTCACCAAAATGTTGTAGCAGTGAAAGTAATCCATCGGTAACTCAGCATCGTGAAAGAGCTAGGGCACGGCGTTTCGTGCATAAAATGCCTTTTGTACCGGTAGACGAAGCATATAATAAAGTAGTCAGTCAACAAGAAGATGCGGTGATAAAGCAATTACCAATGGTAATGAGTCGAAAGTTTGGAAGCTTGCGTTGTTCTTTTGAGCTTACACTGTTACATTAAAACGTATTTGTATGTGAAGAAGCATTATACAATATCATTCAGATCATGTTTTATATGCCGAATGTTTTAGAAAGTAGCTACTTTATTAAAATAAACGAAAATTTCAAATCCCTAATATCTATCAGTGCACTAGTGTCGATTTTTTTTAAGCATAGTTTGCAAATTGATGATATTAGTGGACAGAAGGACGCTAGAAGTAGTACTTGTGGACGAAGTGAGGTGAAGTCACACTTGTCTGTGTTTACGAATTGTACGAATCCTACATTTGCTTCTGTGCATAACATCTGGAAGTACTTTTTTATAATTGATATATATGTGATCGTAACTGCTCTAAAGTCATCTGCTTTATGTTATTAGTCATCTTTATGTGCTGATTGGCTTCAAAAATTATTGCTGAGAAAAATAGATTCTTACACTTGTTTGCTCTAATGAATATTAATAAAACTTGTAGACGTGGGTCACTGCTTCAACAGGAAGTACTTGCAGTACTTGCTGCAGTAGCAGAATTGATAAAAGATCGTGGCGGAAAAGAAAGTGATGCTGAATATTTTGCTGCACTTTTGACGGCCATTGAAACTATACCCGCGACAGATGAATCAAGATTAGAAGCAGCTTTTTATTTGCTGAGACTTGTTATTAAAAAGCTGGATGAAGGCGTAGTACGATTATGTTTTTCGAAAGCATTTCAGGTATTTTCTTCTACAACTTATTCTACAGTTAAGTGATCGTTGATGACATCAGTATGCATTTCCGTTTGTGCTAACATTGAATTCACTTTTTTCATGTTCAATTCTTGCTTAAAATACAATGCATGTTATATACATATGTATATATATGAATTGTTTACTGCCCAAATTTATTTGCTTTCAGATTTTCATGAAAAAACTTTCTGAAACTTCACCGGGTCCTACTTTGGCTAAGCTTATTTGCACTCTAGGAGATATTTTACGTCAGCAGCCAGCCGGTATTTGGGAAAATAACAATACAAGGTTTAATTTGTTTTGGCATACTATCATTGCAGAACATTTCTTGACATTTAGTTAGTCATTCTTAGGGCTGTGGTTTTCTCAATTTCATTGAAAAAATATTGCTTTTCTAACATAAACATAAAACGAGTTAGGAAACCATTTTGAGTTGGCAAACTTTTAAAGATGAACATAGTATTGTTAGATTGACTGGTATTCCAGTGTATTTTCCTTTCTAGTATATTCGTGAATATTTTTTCTGACACATGAAACAGATTTTTGCTTATTAAAGGTTATCACTTATGAAAATCGAGATGTTTGCTTTACACGAAAAATCTGTTGTTCGTTCTGCTGCTCGTCGCACTCTTTGCAGCATTCTTAACGACCCGATGAAAGCTACATCGGATGGTTATCATCCAAGTGCACTTATGGTTGGGGAGTTTATCACTCAACATATGGCCCAGGGTTTCGGTAAATTGTTTACTATATAAATAATTGCGAAGATCAATTTCTTTACATCTTTTATAAACATATAATTAAATTAAGGCAAGTTTTCAGTTCATTATGTATTTTTTAATTTTTTTTGAATTTAACGTATGTTGGACATAAAATATTCAATTTTAAGGGAATGTAAGCAAAATCTTTATGATTATTGCTTCGAATATATTATTTATCATTCCTCTGCAAGCACTGTAATAATGTAACTTCACGTTTTCAAATCAGTCATCTGTTTTTACAGGTAATAAAAAAATCGATATGATCCTTCGTCTTTTATGCTTATCTGAAGACATCATGCATAAGATGCCTTATTCAATATTTAAAAAGTTTGCGGAGCAGGCTCTTACTGCTTTATCTATTTCGGATGCTGTTTTGAGATGTGCTATTTTCCGGTGCTTTCGAAAAGTTTTACGGCAGCAGCCGGATGTAGCAACTTTGCCTTTGTCGACCAATATTCTTTTATGCAGTTTATTACGCGATTTTAAATCTGTGGCCTCAGATCCTGATGTTGCTTGTTTTTGGTTGCAGGTTTGTTGAGACATCTTCAAATATTAGGTTCATTAGATGTCTTGTGGGATACACAATTTAACCACTTTGCTAATACGAAACTTCTAAACATATTTAGCTGCGTTCTTGTGTTTTTTCTTTCAATTCCTGTTATTAATTTTTTTTCAGGCTGTTTGTGAAGCGCTTGTTTGTCTTACTGCAAGAGATTTTTTAAAGTCTGCGGTGCCTTTGGTTTCATCGTTACAGCAGATTTTTGATACTTTCGATTTGGGAATAGAATCTGTTGCTACAGTAAAGTTTTAGTTATGAATAATGAAGTTTCGGCTCCAGTTTTTCTGTCACAAAAAAATTCTAGAAAATAGACTAATGTAATTTCAGGTAGCATGCACTGTAATTTGTCGTTTGGTTGACCACTGTGTTCAACAAAGTGAAGAATTGCCAAGCTATTGTGTTGACTTATGTAACAAATCATTGAATTCACAAAGTTCTGCAGTATGGCGACATGTTCTACGGGCTGAATTTAGAATAATCGTAGTGTGCAAGGATTCCATAAATGAAGCGTCACTGATTCGTGCTCTTATTGTTTTGGATGAACTGCGCAAAGATTCTAACCGTTTTATCATTCCTGAAATCGATTTAGTAATATATTTTGTTTTTAGCTAAATGCAGATTTTAAATTCATCACCGTCATGTTGTTTTGAAATAGTAGTATAGTTCCTTGAGGGGATAGCTTTCAGTCTTAATTGTGTTTATACATTATGAAGTGCTTTGTCAAATGTTTCCAAACTATGATGAAGCACATTCCTAGAATATCGGAGCAGTCGTGCGGTATATTGGAGCTGAACAAGTGTTAAGTGTTCTTTCACTGGATTTAGATTCGCATTCATTGACAACGATTCAGCTCCGGAAACCATGGCTGATACCTATACTACGTGTCAATATGTGCAATCAGTCAATTTCTCTAGCTTTGCGTTATTTTCTGCCTTTAGCAAACCATTTATTGAAGAAGAAGAATTCAAGAAATGAAATGGAAAAGAAAACAGCTCTCATTCTCTGTGTAAGTTAGTGAAATATATATA